TGCACTGTCTAACCTATTAGCAAAACTACACAGTTAAACCTGACAAAACCACAAGACACAACACCCTAACCAGCCCCAAGTAAAGCAGTGGGACCACAGTAGCACTATGTTGGCCACTGCAGGGTTGTTATAACGTTTGAGATCCATAGAAGAAGGTTATCCCCCCCACCCTTACAATTAAGCAAACCCCCCTGACCAGAGGGTAACATTCCTTCCTAACCCCAAATATGGCAAATCAGTCTGATCCTGAGCAGAGGAACAACACCCTATAGCTAAGAAAATCTGGGTTTTAATCTCAGCAGGAGAATCAGCACAACCCAGTCAAAATCCCCAGCCTGGGCTGCATCAACACCCAATGGACCCAAGAAAGGCTTAAAAACAGACAAACCAGCCAGCCAACCACTGACATGTGTAGCAGGAGAGGGAAAAAAAATCCCCCCCAGCCCCTTGTGGCAACCAACAAAGCTCAGAAAAAATGAGAAATAACCATAGTAAGAGCACAGGCATAAGCTACTCCTAAATCACCCTAAACCAATGACCGTCAAACCTCTTCCTGAACACCCCCCAATGCTGCTCCTGGAGTATCAGGGATATCAAAATATCTCATTTCACTTTACCATGCATTGTCGTCCGACGACTTTGACAGCAATGATTTTTTTGTTCCGTACAGATCAGCAACTGATGTATTGAATAGCACCAGGCCTAAAAACAACCTTTTTTTGTGGGGACGGTCCAATTTACATTAATTTAAAAATCAGTTTTCTTCCAATTTTTAACCACTGACTGGTCAAATTAATTCCTTTCACTTTCCACACCTGTTACACTTATTAGCCCAGTCTTTTTTTTTTTAAACCACAGGTGTTTAACAAAGTGTTACCTCTTTGTACTCCCCATTTCGGAAAATCCGGTACCCGTCGGGGGGATGGAGCTGCACTGTTGTGTCACTGACCACTTCTATGCAGCACTCCACATCCTGCTCGCTGAGGGGACGTACTCTGCAGTACACCTGATGCAAGACAAGGCCGTTTCCTTATGAGAAAAGTCTGCTTTATTTTTAAACGAGGCACAGGATGATGGCAACGATCTGCATGCATCTCATAAGTAGATGCGCCGTAACTTGCCTACATCCTCAAAAATACGAACGCAGTGACTGCTCTTAGAGACGTTTCCCGTTGGACACGCGACAGGGAGGTTTTGAAAGCAATAAAC